AATCAGCCACAAGGCATAAGACACTAAACTTAACACATATTTAAAAAGTAAAAAAAAATTTTTTTGATTATCAAGAACAGAAGACATTATTTGACAAATTTGGAGTTATATTTTAAGGTACATGTAGTTAATTGTATACAACTCTTATATTTTTCACCTCCATAATGTAATAAAAAATAATGTGGTCATAAATAAACATGATACAGCAGGTCTGAGGTTTACAAAGCAATAGTTGTCTGATTCAGGATTTAAAAGTTTTAAAATTCAGGTTTAAAAGTTTTTGATGAAGAAATGGGAATGTATATGACATAAAATATTAAAACAATACATTTATGTTAAAGTATGTTTTTTCTCTTCTTTTAAGAGGAGAAATTTTATAAACATATGATGTCAAACAGGATAAGTAGCTATTTGGCCTTTTGAACAGTAAGGATTATTATTATTATTAGTAGTAGTAGTAGTAGTATCAAGGAGTTGCCACATCCATGAAATTTCCAACTTCACGGTAATTAAATTCAAAAATCTCTATTTATAGATTCCCGTACTGCTTACAAAAGGTAATTGACGGGCCGGTGCCGCGGCTCACTAGGCTAATCCTCCACCTAGCGGCACCGGCACACCGGGTTCTAGTCCCGGTCGGGGCGCGGGATTCTGTCCCGGTTGCCCCTCTTCCAGGCCAGCTCTCTGCTGTGGCCAGGGAGTGCAGTGGAGGATGGCCCAAGTCCTTGGGCCCTGCACCCCATGGGAGACCAGGATAAGTACCTGGCTCCTGCCATCGGATCAGCATGGTGCGCCGGCCTCAGCGCGCTGGCCACGGCGGCCATTGGAGGGTGAACCAACGGCAAAAGGAAGACCTTTCTCTCTGTCTCTCTCTCTCACTGTCCACTCTGCCTGTCAAAAAAAAAAAAAAAAAAAAAAAAGGTAATTGACAGCATAAGCAGAAGAAAATGATGAGAGTGACTTGAGACTATATAACAAGAAAGATTTTGTCATACAAAATCCTAATAATATAAAAATATTAAAATGATATTGAATTTGTGTTTTATGTGCCACAAATAACCCCATTTAGCAAATAAATTGTCCAGTATCTAATTAGAGCCCAGGAATTCTGACTTCAGAGCCTGTACTAAATCAATTATGTCATAATGTTACAGAGGGAAATCAAATGCTGAAATTTCATTATTATTAGCATTCTCTTCTTTTTAACTTGAAGGAAAGGTTTTGTAAATTGTATATATGCTGTTTAGTACAAAAATGACTATCATATCTGAAGAACTGTGGATGTATTTGTTCCCACCAGCAGAAATATTTTCAGAAGCACAACACTAACTTTTCCTCAGAAGAGGAAGCTAATAAAATTAACTAAATATATTTCAGTATTCAGGATAATATTTTCAGAAAATGCCAATGTAAATTTTTACTGTATCCAAATAAATCAAAAAGCTTAGAAATATTTTTGCAGTAATGCATGTATAAGCATCATTAATTAATGAAATCTTTTATTTTCCCTCCCTTTTTAGAATTAAATAAGATACTTTCAAATTTGTAGCTATAAATATTTGCTTTAATTTTAGTGTAGAATTCCTCAGATGAGTTCTACAAGAAAAAGATTTTTGAGTGTCCATGTAAAAGTATTCCAAGTGATGTGGTTTTACATTTTTGAACAATGCATGCTATTATTAAGTTTAACACTATCACAAGCAGCAAAAGCCAAAATAGAAAAAATGAAACTACAACAAATTAAAAAGCTTTTTAATAGCAAAGGAAATAATCAACAGAGTGAAGAAACAACCTGTGGAATGGGAGAATATATTTGTAATCCATGTATCTAATAAGGGCTTAAATTTGAAATATACAAGGAACTCAAACAACTCAATAGTAAGAAAAATCCACTTTTAAAAATGAACATAGGTCGTAAATAGATATGTTCAAAGGAAAACACATGAATAGCCTCGTTGATCATCAGGGGAATGTGAATTAAAATCCCAATAAGATATTACCATCTAGAATGGTTATTATGAAAACACAAAATAACAAGTATTGGCAAGGATGTGGAAAATGGAGACCTCCTTGTATACTGCTGGAAGGAATGTAAATTGCTTTAGCCATTATGGAAAAACAGTATTGAAATTCTTCAATAAACTAAAAAACTGTCATATGATTCAACAATCCAACTACTGGGTATATATCCAAAGAATATGAAATTAGTATGTCAAGAGATATCTGCACTCCTATGTTCACTCCCACATTATTCACAATAGTTAAGATAGAGAATCAACCTAAGTGTCCATCAATGGATAATGCATAAAGAAAATGTGGTGTATATATACACAATAGTATACTAGTCACCTTTTTTTTTTTAATTTTTTTGACAGACAGAGTGGACAGTGAGAGAGAGAGAGCGAGAAAGGTCTTCCTTTGCCGTTGGTTCACCCTCCAATGGCCGCCGTGGCCAGCGCGCTGAGGCCGGCGCACCATGCTGATCCGATGGCAGGAGCCAGGTACTTATCCTGGTCTCCCATGGGGTGCAGGGCCCAAGGACTTGGGCCATCCTCCACTGCACTCCCTGGCCACAGCAGAGAGCTGGCCTGGAAGAGGGGCAACCGGGACAGAATCCGGCGCCCCGACCGGGACTAGAACCTGGTGTGCCGGCGCCGCAAGGCGGAGGATTAGCCTAGTGAGCCGCGGCGCCGGCCTACTATTCACCTTTAAAAATTAAATAAATTTTATCATCTGTGACAACATGGATGAACATACAGTATATTATGCTAAGAAAAAGAAGTCAGGCACAGAAAAACAAATACCATATGGCCTCACTTTTATGTGGACAATAAAAAAGTGAACTCACAGAAACAGATAATAAATTTGTGGTTACCAGAGGGTGGGGGATAGGGAAGACATTGGTCAAAGTACACAAAATTTCTTTTAGACCAAATGAATAAGTTTAAGAGGTTGACTGCATCATGATGACTATGGTTAATAACAATATATTATATAACTGAAAATTCCTGACAATAGATTTTAAATGTCCTCACCACAAAAAAAAAAAAAATGATATGTATGTGAGACAATGCATCTCTTAAAAGCTTGATTCAGCTTTTCTACAATGTATTTATCATGTTTAAGTCACAACTATATACAATTTTTACTCAATTAAAAATGTTAAAATTATCATTACATCAAATATCTAAACTAAGAACTGATTGTCCTTATCTGCCATTACATTAACTGTAACTGTTTTTTTAAGATTTATACAGTTAGGACTACTGACAGAACTGTAATTCTCAAATATTTCTTTTCAAAAAATTCAAACAGGATAGCTACAAACCATATTCTGTTCATTTGGGTACATCTTTATTATAGAAATGAGTATTAAATAAAGTATTCTTTACCTTGTAAAACAACGCAAAATACAACAATTTTTTTTAAGTTTTTATTTAATTTCTTTATTTGAAAAGCAGAGACAGTCAGAGACAGGTAGACAGACACAGATTTCCCATCTGCTGTTTCATTTCCCAAATGCTTGTAACAACCAGAGCTGGGGCAGACCAAGCCAGTAGTTGGGAACTCAGTCTGGTCTCTCACGGTGTATAGTGACCCAACCATTTGAGTTATCATCTGTTGCCTTCCAGGGTATGCATTGGCAAAAAGCTGGAATCAGGAGCAGAGCTGTAACTTGAACCCAGGCACTCTGATATGGAATGTGGGCATCTCATGAGGCATCTTAACCACCACTGAGCCAAATACCCACCCCCAAACAATTGACATTTTACTATTCCTTTTTAAATCATAATTTGTTAGCAGATTGAGACTACTTTGTATTTCCATTTTAGCAAGATATTTTGTATCAGATGTGAGAACAACTAAGACATTATTTGCTTCCGAATAATGCTACTACCATTCAGGTGGCTGGGCTGTAGATAGCTACACATTGGCAACTCCACAAAACAGAATATTTATATGACTTGTCTGCATGTACTTCCTAGAGTTTTACTGCTGTCATCTTCCCCTTTCTCTCAGACATATGGGAGCAGAAATAAAAAGGTAAACAATGAAAATCTAGCTGCTGTAACTGTTTCACTGTAATGAAATTATATTTTCCCACAATTTGGTTTTCATTCCTTCTCAAATCTAACGACTGGTAGCTACCTATTATTAAGTCATTAGCATCAATATACAATGAAACACAATAGAGAGCCCAACAAAAACTAACACATATATGAACATCTAAATTTTGACAAATGAGAAAAGGCAATTCAGTGGAGAAAGGACAGTCTTTTGAACAAATAGAGCTGGAACAATTGAATAGTTAATCCCTACTTGTATCATATTAAGTAAAGATGAGATCTAAATGCAAAACCTAAAAGTATGAAATTTCTGGAAAGAAACTTTGTGACCTTGGGGAGGCAAAAATTTCTTACAGATAACACTAAATTATATAGAAGAAAAAAGAAGACAAATGGTTTCATCAGAATTACAAATTTTCAGGGATAAAACTTAAAGATATCCAATAAGATGCCTGTGTCACATATCAGAGTACCCTGGGTTTAATTCCTGGCTCTGCTTCTGACTCAAGCTTCCTGCTAATGCAGACCTGGGAGACAGTGGTGATGGCTCAAGTAATTAAAGTTCTGCCACCCACCTCAGAGACCTGGATTTAGTTTCTGGCTCCTAACTTTTTCTGGGCTCTGGCTACTGTGGCCATTTGTGGAGTGAATGAGAAGATGGTTCTCTCTCTCTCTCTCTCTCCTGTATGTGTGTGTGTCTGTGTGTGTGTGTGTGCATTTCTGTGTCACTCAAATAAGTAAAAATTATATATATATACATATATATGTATATAAACTTTCACTCTCTGAAAACAGCAAAGGCAACGTTAAAAGGGTTCTAAGAAAATCCACAGGTTCAGTAAAAAATATTTGTAAAGGTGACATAACTGGTAGAAATGGAAAACAACCACTTTGGGAAACAAGTAATTTCTTAAAATTCAAACATACACCTACCATGTGATCCAGCCATTCCACTCCTAGGTATTTTTCTAAAAGAAATGAAAACATATGTCTGTACAAAGACTTGTATACAAATGATCATAGCGGCATTATCCATAGAAGCCTGAAACTCAGAACACAAATATCCATCAATGAATTGTGCTATGTCCAAGTAATGGATAACTACTCAGCAACAAATAAGAAAAAAAAATTAATATACATGGCAACATAGGTGAATATTAAAATAATAATGCCAGTGAAAGAAGACAGGCAAAAAGAGAAGTATACTCCATGATTTCATTTTTATAAAATTCTAAAAAATGCGAATTATTGGATTAGAAAAGAGATCTATGATGCCTAACAAAAAGGATAGGAACTGAAAGGGGCATAATGAAACTTTTGGGGCAGGTGAAAATTTTCATTTTATTGACTGTGGTGATGCTTTCACAGATATATACACTTCTCAAAGCTTACAAAATAACACACTTTACTAGCAGTTATCTTGTGTCTATTATACTTCAGTAAAATTATTTTTAAGACAATTAACTTATGTATTCATATAAAACCTTTGTAGAAGAACCAAAAACAAAAAAAGAAGAGGAAAAAGGAGAAGGAGAAAGAAGGAAGGTAGGGGAAGGAAAGAGTTTAAAAATGAATGAATCTGCTATATTTAATTTCTTAGATATCTCCGGCAAAAGAATATGTTGCTTTACTTGTTATTGTGTATTTCGCATGTGTATTTGTGTCACAGGGATGGAAGGTGGAGGGGATCATGTATAGCTTGATATCAGGGAAGGTACAAACATATCAAAGAACTATGCTCAGCTTGAGTAAGTTCAGAGATTCTGTGTTAAGAAACATCTCATGTAGGAGAAGGAACATTCAACTCTCTCCCCAAAATAGCATTAAATAATGGAACAGAGAATATATCATGATGCAAGTAATTTACACATGAGGGTGTTTCAGAAAGTTCATTGAAATGGAATTAAGAGAGTATTTTGGTGCAAAAATGTTTTGAAATTCATGCACAGTTATTTCCATAACACATGTTTTCCACAAGCCTTTTGAGGATCCCTACTATAACTTTATGAAGAAAATTAAGCAAATGATATGTTAGAATTAATACTTATATTCACAATAGAAAATTTATGGCATAATCAAACAAATTGATTTTATGAAGAAAAAGTTTATTTTGTTTTAGGGACCTACTATATAAAATTAAATAAACTAATAGACAAAAATCTACAAAAATAAAAAGATGTTGTGAGATACATAAGGCAGTGTTTACACAAAAATATTGTGGTTGGAAATCAGTCTCGACATGCAATTATTTTCATAGTCTATAGTTAGGAAATAAAATACATCCAAATTGAAAAATCACATTAGTTCATTATCATTATTTTTGAATAAGTTTGCTACACATTTTTTTCCTCTTTCTCCAAACTTTTCCAGTATCAGTGTGAGTGATTAAGTACTAATCTTTGAAAAGCATCCAAACAACCTTCCAAGTAGATAACTTTATAATAAAATCTGTAATTGAGTCACACTTGTGCAATATCATGAGTTGAAACAGAGGTATTTTATAAGTGTGTAAAGGAAATAAAGTGGAATAGCATTGGTTCAAGGCACTTAAATGGAATTGGGAAGCACTTATTAAACAGGTCCCAAATACATCCACAAGTGAGGTACAACCACAGTTGAACTTTTAAGTTGAACTTTTGAACTGAAGTATCTGCACATACCATACCAGGGTAAATGCTGACCTTACGAACTGAAGAGTGCTGCAATTTCAGTAAAGAAATTCCCTAATCTTTCTAGCAGTTTGTGAGGTCATCCCACTCACTTCCTAAGACTGTTCTCCATCCCTTTCTTGCAAACTCTTGCCAGTGCCTGAATGATAATTCTTGACAAACAGGAGATGAACTTAACTGCCCCCTTGAAGTTTAAGCTAGAAAAACACACACCCTTTCGGGGCACATTTTCAAGGCTACTTGAATTTTTTGTCTCCCAGACTGTAATGGTCATAAATGTAATTACATAAATGTAATTATTAGTTATCTATGACTAATTTGATTTTGTCTTGGTTGATAGCAGCCATGGTTGCCTTATCATGGTCAAAGTCATTGTACCTTTAGAATTTCACCGCCTTTTAATTTCTAATTCAGTGGAAAACAATCAAACAACATGAATAGATAATATTCAGTGAACAATAAACATGAAAAAACATTCAGTCTTACTACTAATATAAGAAATACAAATACATAATATTGAAAAATGTATTTGGCGTTGTTCATCTAAAAATGTGAATGGCAATCACTTCTTCATGTATTTATAGTTATTTTTAATTATTCCTTTGTAGTTCTTAGTAGTTAACTATTCTATCTAGCTTTTTTAATGATATCATGTTAATATATACATTTTTAATGTATCATTTCCACAAAATAAAAGCTTATTTTTAAACTACCTAATTAGTTTTGTGCGTAAAAATTCTGACCTATGGAACAAAAAGGAGAGAATTAAGAAATGGACCCAGGCAAATCAGTTAATATGATTAATTTGGAATTTCAAATAAGTATGGAGTATACATATTCTCAAATAAATGATACTCAAAGAATTAGCTGACAAAAATGAACTTCAAAAATCTGGATCTTTAACATCACTAACTCCTAAATACCAACTCCCAATAGTACAACATCTAACATGCATATAAAATCATTAAAATACTGTAATCTGGATTCCTATCTTATCACTAACTCTAAGACTAATCTTTGATGGTACAAAGTTTAACATATATAAAAAAGCCATCAACATAAGAGAATTTGTTTAAAGATATCCATCACTTTACGTGAAAATAATAAGCTGCAGAATAATATTTATGGTAAAACCCATTGATTTAAATGACTGTTCTATAGAAAATGCTTTCATTAAAATTGTGAAATGAAAACATATGCATCCAGTTAAGTTTTACTCACTATTATACTGGCATCCACTACAACGAGTGCCTGGTACGTGACAAGCACAAAAATATATTAGTTGAATGATTAAATGAGCTCTTATGCACTATTGGTGGGACTGTAAATGGTTATAATCTTTCTAGAGAGAGTTTATCAGTCCGTATGAAATGCTAAAATGAACACACAATTTAATTTAGTCCAGCACCCCTGCTTAGTAATCTATCTTATTACAAATTTTCATAAGTGCACCTGCTCTGGTTGCCTAGGAGCAATATTTTTTACAAGTAAAAAAGTATTGATATAAGTGGAGAGATAGTGTGGAAAGAGTTACCATACAACAGGAATTAGATGAAATAAATTAAGACAACTATTTCCATGGAATATGCCTCTATTTAAAAATTAGATGTTGATCATTTTCCATGAACCGTATAGTCATAATTAAATGATAAATGAATGAGCAGGTTACAAAACATACTAAAATGTCACATAGACAAAATTATATACATATATATGCAGGTGTTTATAAATATGCACAAGAAATCTCTAGAAGGAATTGCACCCAAAATGCTAGCAACAGTTATCATTCTGTTGTTAAGATTGTGTTTTTCCAATCATTGGAATTTTTCTCTACTGGGGTTTTATCTTTACAATGTTCATATACTTTTACAATCAGCGCTAAGGAGTAAAAGTAAATGCATTTACAAAATTTAAAAGCATTCCCTAACTTTAAAAAAAATGTGTAACTAAATGTCAAAGCACAAATTCTATAAAAATGTAATATAAAATTATCTCACTTTAACATAGTTTCATTCAAAATGAATAATTCATCACATTTTATGTCTTGTTACTTGTATTCTATGACCAAGTTTATATAGTGAATGTGGTTAAGTAGTTGTTTTGTACATTAGTATGCCAAATCACTTCTGTGAATTTTTCTGTTCCCATAGAAATATCAAGATATCATCCAATTAAATCTCTAAAATACTATCCTGTGAATTTTTACTCAAATACAAATGGGTTATCCCTGTCATTCATAAAAATGGGCTAAATGCATTCCTTACCTTTCAGTGAAAAGTAAACACTGGTCTTTTGGGTTTACCAAGGGAGTTGTTCTGTAGCAGAAAAGAATCCTGTAAATAAAAACAACACATATCTATCTTTAAACTTCATTTTGCGAAAGTTTGTTCACATATTACTGGACTTGTAAGTCATACTTTAATATGGCTGGAATTTTACAATACTAGAAGGAAACTGGTGGCAGATTACATTTTATATGCTGACAGAGGATGCACTTTCATTAGCACAAATTCCCCCTCCCCCCCATCCTGCTGTTCCTGGAATTGAAACCTGCTGCACAAAAGTATAAAACAAACAGTCTTCTTTTTAATATTAGCAATATTGAATACCCCTTTTTTATTTACAAGGTTATTGCAAGCCTTGAGAAGGGCTATGTGGCGCGTTAGCAACAAGGTTGGGGTATATTATATGCCAGCTTAGAAAATAGAAATAAAATAAAAATGGTGTAACTGACTCACGGCAACATGGGTTCGCAAACCTTGTAGATGGATACAAACCAGGCTTGCCAAACATCACAGACAGCACTTATTAAATCTGCTACGTGGAATGCAATATGCCTGCTGTCTAGCCCCTCCCCCGTCCCAATAAACGACTGCCCCTTTTTCTCCCAGTGTAAAAGTAGATGCTCACAGAGCAGAGGAATAACGCTTTTCCTAAGAAAGAAATCATCCATAGTCACACTACCCATTGACTCCATTTAGAAAATTTTCATCCAATTTTTTCAAAACGTTTTTTTTTTTTTTTTTGTCAAGAGGCCCGTGACAAACCAAGCGGGAATTCAGGATGGGCGGATAGAAGGAAGACACTCCTCTTCTTATGTGGTTAAAAAACTATGGCTTGTATTTTTTTTTTAACCTCGTGTCTGCGCTTTTTGTGAATTATAAAATCACAAAGATAAATTTTGGGAGGGGGGGCTTCCAAGGGTTCGAGTCTCACCCACCAAAGAGCGTCTGGGAAGATGGGCGGAGCCTTGGTGTATGTGTTGCGGGGGGAACCGTTGCGTTTGGCCTTTCGTTGGACATATCGTTTGTCAATCAAGGTTGTCCAGCAAATAAGGAGCCAACTAAAGGCACGCTGGGTAGGAAATTAACGGGCAGTCTAAGTGTGAAGGGGAGGGGGCTCGCGATCCCAAGCGAGAAGAGATCTCGGGGTCTCATACTGCGCCATTCGACTGCGGCACGCTTAGGTCGGCCGTGGCTGCTGCCTGGAGAGGCCTTGCCGCCGCCACTCTCGTCCAGGCCGCCAGTGCCTCTGCCGTCTCGCCTCCGCCGCCGCCGCCGCCGGAGCCTCGGTCCCAGCCCCATCCCGCCGTGCGCTGCTGCTGCTGCCTTCCCCGCGGCCGCCGCCGCTGCCGCAAGCATCCGTGAGTCATTTTCTGCCCATCTCTGGGCGCGCGCTCTCTGCGGTAGTCACCACTTAAGAGGTTTACAGGCTTTCCATATGGCTGAAGCGGATCTTAAAATGGTCTTGGAACCTGTCGCCGAGGGGGTTGCTGAAGAGGAGATGGCTAGCTCGGCTAGTGATTCTGGGGCAGAATCTGAGAGCAGTTCTAGCAGCAGGTGCAGCAGCAACAGCAGCAGCAGCAGCAACAGCAGCAGTTGCAGCAGCCGCAGCCGCTTATATAAAAAGAGGAGGTTTCCCGAGCCTTCCAGAGGGGTTCAGCGGGCTCCACTGCGTAGAAATTTCGTGGATAGGCTACCTCAGGCAGTTAGAAATCGTGTGCAGGCACTCAGAAATATTCAAGATGAATGTGACAAGGTAGATGCCCTGTTCTTAAAGGCAATTCATGATCTTGAAAGAAAATATGCTGAACTCAATAAGCCTCTATATGATAAGCGATTTCAGATCATCAATGCAGAATATGAGCCTACAGAGGAAGAATGTGAATGGAATTCCGAGGACGAGGAGTTCAGCAGTGATGAGGAGGTGCGGGATGACAGCCCTAGTGAAATGCCTCCTTTAGAGGGTGAGGAAGATAACCCCAAAGAAACAACTGAGGTAAAAGCTGAAGAGAAGGAAGCTCTTAAAGAAGTTCCTGGGGTAAAGGCTGCAGAAGAGGAAGTTCTTGAAGAATTTCCTGAGGTAGAGACTGAAGAAAAGGATGTTCTCCAAGAAATCCCTGAGGCAAAGGCCCAAGGAGAGGAAAAAGCAGATTCTAAAGCTTGTATGCAGACACTGCCTGAAGTAAAGGAAGACTCTAAAGCAGTCCCCCAGGTAAAGGCAGAAAATGCTGAACAGCCCAAAGCAGCAAAATCGAAGGCAAGGGCTCCTGCGAGAGAGACTCATAAAAGACTTCCTGAGACAAGGCCTAAAGAAAGAGTGAATCTTAAAAGAGCTAGGAAGGGAAAGCCTAAAAGAGAAGATCCTAAAGGCATTCCTGATTATTGGCTGAATGTTTTAAAGAATGTTGACAGGCTGGGGCCTATGATTCAGAAATATGACGAGCCCATTCTGAAGTTCTTGTCTGATGTTAGCCTGAAGTTCTCAAAACCTGGCCAGCCTATAAGCTACACTTTTGAATTTCATTTTCTACCAAATCCATATTTTAGAAATGAGCTGCTCATGAAAACATACATAATAAAGTCAAAACCAGATCACAACGATCCCTTCTTCTCTTGGGGATGGGAAATTGAAGACTGCAAAGGCTGCAAGATAGACTGGAGAAGAGGAAAGGACGTTACCGTGACAACCACCCACAGCCGCACAACTGCTACTGGAGAAACTGAAATCTTACCAAGAGTGGTTCCTAATGCATCATTCTTCAATTTCTTTAGCCCTCCTGAGATCCCTAATATCGGGAAGCTGGAACCACGGGAAGATGCCATCCTTGATGAGGACTTCGAAATTGGTCAAATTTTACATGATAATGTTATCCTGAAATCAATCTACTACTATACTGGAGAAGTCAATGGTACCTACTATCATGATGGCAGAGATTATGGAAACAGGAAGTATCGAAAATAAAAAGGCTGGCTGAAAGATTTTTTTCAAGAATCGCAAAAGTTCAAGCAGAAGTGAAGCAGGTTAATATCATTTAGAAAAAAAAAAAAAAAAACCTGACCTATAACTTGAGCACTATTGTCCCTTACAGTATTGTGTTCTCATGTTTTCTTGGTATTTGATTTTAAAAATTGTTGCAAAAATTTCTAAGTATCAGTTTGTTAAACTGTGATATTCTTGAAAATATGTAAACTTATGTCAGTTATCTAAAGCATGTTAGTTTGGTGCTACAGAGTATTAATTTTTGTGAAGTCTTTTTGTCATGTTACTATTTGATTATGGCTGTGAAAATTGTCAGAATTGTTAACTGAGACAAATACCTGCTTGAAAAAAAAGTTCCTAATGTACCAATGCATTTTTTTTCTCTTCCAGCCCAGAAGACTGAGGGTTTAAATCTGCTTGCACTGTATGTGCCTTTGTTACTTTGCTATAGAAATATAGTACTTATATTAACTAGAAGAGTGCATTGTGAAATTTGCTTGAAAAAAGATGACCATACTTTTAAGAATGTCTGTCAAGGCCATGTTTGATTTCTGTGAATTTGTTTATTTTACAGAGTCGTCTATAAATTTAATCATATTGGAGTTATTGTTTACCACTGAAGTGTTAATGTGAAATAGTATTTTTTAAAAAGTTTACTCATCTTATATTGTATAATTGTAAATTTAATGCATTTTCTCTGTAATATGTTCCTTACCTTTCTCTAAAAATGATCACTTTACATCATTTGATACTTTTTTCATGTCCTTTTTTGCAACCCAAAATACATGTTAAAATAAAATGTGCCATGCTACAAAACACTAGCATTTTTCTCTTGTAAAAAATCTGATGTTTAATATAGAAAAAAGTAGAACATACTGAGGGAAAGAAAATTTTAACAAAAAATAACTATTGTTAAGCTTCTGATAATAATTCTCAGATCTTAGCTTTTCTGTTGGAGTATACCCATTCAGGTTATTGCAGGGAAATGGGACAGGGGAGGAGGAAGAAGAGGAAAAGGGAGGGAAGGAAGGGGTACTGGAGGAGGAAAAGGGAAGCAGTTGGGGAGGAGCGAAAGAGGAGGAATGGGGGTCAGGGCAAGGGAAGGTTGGGGTGGGAAGGGAGGTGAGGGCAGGAGAGGGAGGGGATAGAGAGTGTCTCACGCAGAAAGGCCTGTTATATAGGTTGTTTTCACATGCCTCGGGGCCCTCCTTTACCTTGATTTGGGAGGAGGTGACACTACCTTAGCTTTTATCTTCCCAGTGATATGCTCTCAACTGTTCTGTGACACCATACAGCTGGTCCCAGGATAATTAGATCCTGAGATTTGAAATCAATATGAGGAGCAGTTTAACAGGGAGCTTTGCACTGAGCACAAAGGCACAAGCGTAACAGATAAGAAAGTGCTTTATTTCATATTTGCCACATACTTTTCTTCATGACATTACAGGAAAGAACTCTGGTGGGAGGCAGACCACATTTGAAAATATCTAGACCTCTAGGCATAAAATAGTCTTCCAAATCCCACCATATATATAGTTTAGTTTCTTGCTTTTTTCTCTGCTTAACAGGAGTTTTCTCCCTCTATGTATATAAGTATAAAAATATTTACAAACCAAGACATATTAAACAATTAGATTTGTTTGCATCTTCAGCTTGTTTATGGTTTATATAATTTCAGGAAGCAAGTTTTTGATTGTAGCAATATCAGTGCACTTTTTGTGAGAATGCTTCTGTTTTATTTCCGAGACTTTTTTTTTATCCATCAAAGAACTCTAACCAAAGTATTTACCAACTTACTTTTCTGTGTTGCCCATATTAAAAGGAATTCAAATTATTATAGAATACTTGCAAAATAGCAGAAATTCAGAAAATAAAAACTCAGAAGCACAGGTATACTAAGGAATTGTTATGTTTGTGGGGTGGTGTATTTTCTCCCAGCCCATCTTTTGATCAGGTTTTATCATGAATTCTTGACTCAAATTTAAAGGTAAATTCAAATAGATTGCTAACTGGAAAAGCAGCTACTGCTATAGTTTAGAGTAGGTGTGGGGGCTGAGGGGAACAGGTGCCAAGGATTTATATATCAATTAATATTTTGATTCCAGAAGTGCAATTGGTCTGTGCTGGATTCTTCAACCACCTCTACGGTTGAGGAGGGTGAGTAGAGCCGGGAAACTTTTGGGCTGGCACATTCAGTGGGCTGCATGTGTGTCTAGCACACTTGTTCAGCCAGTGACTGATATTAGAAGGAGAAACTGCCAGGGAATGAAGCTAATGGGGAGGGGGTTGAGAAGTGCATAGTGCAGTCTCCTTCCACACCTTCCTCCTGGTGCTCTGTTTCCTTTTGCTGTGACTCAGAATTGAGGCCAGGTGCCCGCTTTGCTGAATTCCCATGAGGAGGCTGCTGTTGCTAGTGCTATATCCTCAATTAGTCCATTCCTGTCCTGAGTTGAGTTGGGCCCTGAGTATTCCTGGCTGTCAGCCTAAATGTTCTTTGCTTTAATGTGGCTAACTCCAAACAGGACTTTGATAAGCAGCAGCAACAGCAAAGGTTGCTGAAGAGGTAAGGGAAGAAACTTATGCTGAATGAAGAAAGTGACAACACTGTCAAATGATGCACACTTCAAGAGTATGCCACACCTGCTGGTACCTCACTAGCCATACTCACTAGTGATAGTGTGTTTTCCGTCAAAAAGCTTCAAGGACGATGTGATAAAATAGTAGCAGAATCAGATCAGAAATTGCTAGCTTTTGGGAAAAAATACAAACCTCACTTGCATTTGAATAAACAGCGCCTATATGAGGGCAATGTGGAGTTGTGCCTGTAGTTTTTGAATAAGGATCTGAATTACGAGGTGATGGTAAAGTTGAGAAACAAAAAAGGGTAATAGAAAAGGAGAAAATTGGATTAGGATTTAAAAAATTCTTAAAATGGTGAGGATAGGCTGACTTTTTAAAGTTACCTATGTTGGGCCAGCGCCGCGGCTCACTAGGCTGATCCTCAGCCTTGTGGCGCCGGCACACCGGGTTCTAGTCCCGGTAGGGGCGCCGGATTCTGTCCCGGTTGCCCCTCTTCCAGGCCAGCTCTCTGCTGTGGCCCGGGAGTGCGGTGGAGGATGGCCCAAGTGCTTGGGCCCCTGCACCCCATGGGAGACCAGGATAAGCACCTGGCTCCTGCCATCGGATCAGCACAGTGCGCTGGCCGCAGTGCACCGGCCGCGGCGGCCATTTGGAGGGTGAACCAACAGAAAGGGAAGACCTTTCTCTCTGTCTCTCTCTCTCACTGTCCGCTCTGCCTGTCAAAAAAATAAATAAATAAAGTTACCTATGTTTGTATTCATATATCTTTTGAACAAAACAAATATTTCAAAACTAAGGTATTAAAAGTATAGTCTCATATGGTGATGCTGCCCACGTCAGAGGGCTGGTTGGAGTCTTCGTTGCTCCACTTCCAATTCAACTCCGTGCTAAAGCACCTGGGAAGGCAGCAAAGACCATTGGAGTGCTTGGACTCCTGCCACCCAAGGGGGAGATCCAGACAGAGTTCTAGGCTCCCGTTTTGAAGCTGGCCTAGACCTGGCCATTGTGGCCAATTGGTAAGTGAACCGGGGGATGGAGGATTCTCTCTGCCTTTCAAGTCTATGTATACATATATACATACATTAAAAAATGCTGAATATGGGAACTAATGATCCCTTCCTCTTTGAACATTCAGAATATAGGTTTTGTAAGCAATGTCAGGTTTACCAGAGGGAAAAAAAAAGCCCCTCTAAAAGCCAATAATATCAAATTTTTTAAAAAGATATATTTTTATTTATTTGAAAGACAGAGTTACAGAGAGAGGTAGAGACAGAGAGAGAGGTCTTCCATCTGCTGGTTCACTCCCCAGATGGTTGCAACGGCCGGAGCTGAGCCAATCCGAAGCCAGGAGCCAGGAGCTTCTTCCAGGTCTCTCACAGGGGTGCAGGGGCCCAAGGACTCGGGCCATCTTCTACTGCTTTTATAAGAACTATTTTTTACCAGATACTAAAGCATTTGTGAGAAATTTTTTTAAAGCTTTATTTATTTATTTGAAAGAGTTACACAGAGAGGAGAGGCAGAGAGAGAGAAAGAGATCTTCCATCCTCTGGTTCACTCCCCAGATGGCTGTAACGGCTGGAGCTGCACCAATCCGAAGCCAGGAGCCAGCAGCTGCTTCCAGGTCTCCCACGTGGGTGCAGGGGCCCAAGGACTTGGGCCATCTTCTACTGCTTTCCCAGGCCATAGCAGAGAGCTGAATCGGAAGGGACTAGAACCAGCGCCCATATGGGATGCCGGCACTCAGGCCAAGGCATTAACCCACTGCGCCACAGTGCCGGCCCTAAGATTATAAAATTTTAAATAGGATAGTACAATCTAAAGTGAAAAAGTTCTGAAAGCCTATTTATTTCCTTTAGCTTTTTTGAAATGCCAGTGCTTGAAAGTGGAAGCTCATGTGAAACAGCCATATTAATTTATGAGTAATTGCTGGATCTTAACATGCTTGTCTAATTCAGAGATAAGAATCACCTGAAACGAGAGTCTGTGTGAGCAAAGAATGGGCACAAACTGAATAGCTGAGATCCTGCCTCAAATATTTATGAGATATAAAAGCTGAGTTTTCAAAATCTAGGAAATACTTTGAACATCTAAGTTTAGAAAAAAATATCATTTGGCAAAGCAAAATGCACAAATCAGCAGTATAATAATTTCAGCATAATTATGCATTATTTTTAATTGTATGATTTGTGATATTTTTGTACAATGAATCTTTAAATTGTCAGAAATGAATGTTTATTAAAATACATAGCATTTAGATTTACCTCTCTTCAATGCAGAAAGCAACAGAAAGACGCAGAAAGCAACCAATTTTTTATTCATTTCTGAGTAGTTTAATTCTTTTATTTTGACAGGCAGATTTAGTGAGAGAGAGAGAAAGGTCTTCCTTTCTGTTGGTTCACCCCCCAAATGGCTGCTACGGCCGGCGCACTGCACCAATCCAAAGCCAGGAGCCAGGTGCTTCCTCCTGGTCTCCCATGCAGTACAGGGCCCAAGGACTTGGGCCATCCTCCACTGTCCTCCCGGGCCACAGCAGAGA